ATAGGAATAAGAGATCCTCCGGAAAAGGGCTTTTTTCCGGAGGATCGGGGCCAGTGTAGATGCTCTTTTCCGGCTTTTCTAAAAGCCGGAAAAAAGCGGCGGACATTTTTATTGAAATGCCACGGGGGATATTTAATTTCCCTATTATGATCTGAAAAATTAGCATGCCCATTCCGGAAAAGGGGCCAATGTAGACGTAGCCCCTGTGTGTGAGTTTTACTCTTGATGAAGAAAGCAGAGTCCTAGTAAGAGCAGTTAGTGACTGTTCATTATTTATATGGTCTCTTGCCAGAAGCAGAGTAAAAATGTTTCCTTCTGTCACATCCAGATTTCCTCATGATCTTCACCAAGCAGAGGAAAGTGTCCCTCTGCACAAGCAGTCCCAACCGACTGAAATTTTGGGTTTGACAAACTAGAGGCAAATTGCTCTCTTTTTTCCCTAGAGAAGCATTAAGTTAGTAATGTAGCATATTGATGTTATGATTGTTAGGGAGTTACTGGGGGTAGCTGTTTGGAAAAGCAAGTTTTGTGTGGTGTCATTCAAGCCATCTGAGCTGTTAACCTCAGACTCACTGCTGAGCAGTCTTGAATAGAATTTTCCTTTAGCTGGGATATAAATCATTCTTCTTTCAGACTGTCACAAACATGCCTAAAAACGTTACCATTGCTGTTCCGTTTGTGTCCTGGGCTGCATTTATTAAGGTTTAGGGATCAGATGTACAACTAATTAATCGTGAGACAATGTCCGGGGACTGCTCACCCCCCCTGAACTGAAACCTAAAATATTGGAAGTAAAGTTAAATGGTGGTGTCACTACACTAGACAAAAACAGTGACTTTCTAAGGGGAAGTACTTCATATATTGTCTGGATTTTGAACGAGTCTTTCAAATTCAGTTATGGGCCAGACATATGAATTTAACAGGTTGCTTGATTGCAGCTGTTCTCAAGCTTGCTGTATAACTGATTATAGCAAGGAAACCATTGGAAAATTCAAATCACAGTACCACTGGGAACATGTGAAACTAAAATAGTGAGTGCTCTCTGTGAGAATGTAATGCTAACTGGGGCAGATAAAACATTAAAACTAAGTAGTGTTATGTGTGTTTGAAGAGGGTTTGAAGTAGGGCGAGGACATGATAGTAAGGTAAATCTTCACTTTCATTTACAAGAAGGGTGCAAATTTAACATTTAATCTTCCCCCTCCTAGAGGGGAGAGGTGTAATCTAGCTGCTTTTGAGTCTTAACTCATATTTCAAAGATGTTGTGCCCTAGTGTAGTGGCTAACTGAAATTAAAACATTCAAGGACTGCTAGAAACTAAAGAAGGGTCGTAGTGCTGGAAAAGGTTCATGAACACATTTTAGAGTACTTAGAATCTCTTGGCCACATATCTACAATTTCTTTGCAGTTTATTTTTCGGTTCCTTTCTGATGTATGTAGTTTGCCAGGTGTGGACATATTGCCATTAAAATACCATTAATTTCAGTATTAAAAAAACCCTTTTGACTGTTCAAGTCCGTGTTTCCTCTCCTCTTCACTGTTGAGAAGAAAGCTGCAGACGTGCCATTTATTTATACAAAATAAGATACTTGAACAGAGCTCTAAGGACCCTAACAAAGTAAAAATATAAACAGTTTGCTTTCTCCTAGGAAGACTGGAAGATCTGATTTCTGGTGTGTTAATTTTAAATAACACATATTTAAGAGGCTATTAGTATGCCCTCATTTAAAAAAAAAAAAAAAAAAAAAAGTAAAAACTTCCAGGTATGGTTTGCAAACGACCTTTTCAATAAAGTAGTTGGCTATATTTTTGTGTCTTGTTCAGAGTGGTATGTTTTCTTTTAAGCCACTTGTTTTATTCCTCTCCTTCCTGTAATATGTAGGTTCAGTGGCTGCTAGTGAACTTGGAGGTGTGGATCTTCTAGTTTATAAAGCCTACGTCCAGTTCCAGATACTGAATAAACAGTGCAGATAGTCGGATAATTACAAAAGAGAGCAGCTAGTCACTGCTTGACCATTGTATTGATACTGTGCTATTTCCACAGCGCTTAAGGTTGTTGCAGGGTACAGTGAATTTTCTTTCCATGTTCACTTAATCGGCGGCACCCCTTACCCACTGCCTCCCACTCTCCAGATAGAAACTAGTTCTGTAATGGAAGATAGTGTTGTGGGAATTGTTTGGCACATACAGCTCCTTGTGACTGCTGATAATTTCCAAAGTGTAGTGAACATTAGTAAACTGAGTTGTGGCATTTAGTAATGTATACAATCTGTGGCCTTTTTGGCCTCTTTTCCAGTTGCTGTCTTCTAATATTGTGGGTTTCCTGCTAGTTTAAGAACTCCGTTTTCAGTCACTCTTTGCTAGATTATATATTAAGAGTTCCGGGAATATGTGCACACTAGATACACTCTTGATCATTCTGTAGTTATGCTAATGGTTTAGAGATGAATTTCTCCTCTAATTACCCTTTGTTTTCTTCCAGATAACGATTATTTTTAAATCCTACCAAGACTGCACAGATCAGAAAGTGTACCAGGCAGTGACTGATGACCTACCGGCAGCTTTTGTAGATGGCACAACAAGTGGTGGTGACAGTGACACCAAGAGCTTGCGCATAGTGGAGAGTGTCAGTGGCCGATGCGTGGAGATGCATGCCAAGTACATTGGAACCACTGTGTTTGTGCGCCAAGTTGGACGTTACCTAACGCTGGCCATTCGCATGCCAAAAGAGCTAGCTATGGCTTATGAAGAAAGCCAGGACCTGCAGCTGTGTGTGAATGGCTGTCCCTCAAGTGAGCGCATTGATGATAGTGGTCACTTGCCTCTGCCCGTTATGGGGCAGCTTCTTCCTCATGTTTCCTCTGCTCAGCCCCGGTCCATTTACACAGTGGAGAGTGCCACTACTAAATGCCACGAGAAGATGCTGGTGAAGGACCTCTATTTTTACTCTTGTGTGTTTGATCTGCTCACCACTGGTGATGCTAACTTCACAGCAGCAGCTCATAGTGCCTTGAAGGATGTAGAGGCACTGCACCCTAGGAAAGAGCGCTGGCACATCTTCCCCCATAGTGGAAATGGTGGCATTGGCCAGAATAGTAAATTGCCTGTTAGTCTTGGACTTGTGTGCTTAATCCTTGTTGCGTTTTTGTAGGTTTTTTTGGTCTATAACAAAGTTTTAAAATATATATTGTCATAATATATTGAGTAAAGCTAAGAGTATATATGTATATACCATGTATATGAAGGGATGTTTGTCTTGGGACACCCGCCAGATTGTACATATTGTGGTGGTGTTTTTTTATGTATGTTGGATGTAGTATTCTTTGATTGTATCAATTTGTTTTGCAGTTGGTGAAATGTTTTATAATGTCCCTGCATTGGGACTTCATAGAAAGCACTTTATTTTTTATATATTAAATATTTATGTGTGTATCTGGGTAATATGTATAATACACATGTACATACACCACACCCAGTGCTCCCTCAAGTATTATGTGGTTTAGCCAACTTTCTATGTAAATGCTTTTTCTATGTTTTCCTTTCAGTCCTTAATTTCTTCCCAAATCTAGCTGTCATTCTCCTGTGAATATAGCACTAACTTCTTGTTCTCTCTAGGTAGATCATTCAGAATTGAGGCTTTACTTTATCCCTGATATAGCTTATCCTTGCTTTCTCCTTCAGTGAAAATGAAACTCCTCTAATGACACTAAAATTTATCTAATCTCACTCTGCATTTATACAGCATTCGTGCTGTAGGTAGGACAGCCTTGGGGGTTTCTCTAGCTCATTGGAGATGTTAACTGCATAACATGATACCAAAATATCACCTTTCCCTCCTAATCATAATTTTATTCCATGCTTATCCTTGCTTTCTCCTTCAGTGAAAATGAAACTCCTCTAATGACACTAAAATTTATCTAATCTCACTCTGCATTTATACAGCATTCGTGCTGTAGGTAGGACAGCCTTGGGGGTTTCTCTAGCTCATTGGAGATGTTAACTGCATAACATGATACCAAAATATCACCTTTCCCTCCTAATCATAATTTTATTCCATGAATATATTTTTTTTCTAAGAAAGGAAAAAAATGGGGGGGGGGGGGTCTCTTGATTGCCTAGGCTGAAAGAAAGAACCTGAGACTTTAAAAACCACCTAGGACTAGGTAAGAGAAGCTGTTTATATCACTGTAGGATATCAAGAAGCATGCTGGGAAATCTTCCATATGCGTGTGCCCCTCCCAATACATCTTGCCATAAGGGTCTCTGTCATAGCTCTCCATGTTTTCTTGGGGTTGACTAACATCCTTCAGTGTGAGTCTAATCAGCTGGAGAGGTTCTAAGTGACCTAAGAGATTCTCTTCTGTAAGCAGCACTTCTACCAAATGTCAGCAGAGTTCGAATTCAGGATAGGGATAAAGTTCAAACGGTGGTTCACTAAATCAATCTAGCACCTTAAATTATTACAAGAAAAAGGTAATAGTTTTTCAGCCGTGTAAACATACACATGTACCACTCCCCCTCTTCCCCTGGTGTAAGTATTTGTTACATTCTCTTTTTCCCTTAGAAACAGTTTAGTGTAAATGAGTAAGTCCTAGAATCCTAAGGGTATGTGTCTTTGCTGCATTTTGAAACCCATCTTAGTGAGTCTGAGCCCAAGTCTACAGACTCAGGCTTGGGGGTTGACTGTGGCACTAAAAACCATAGTGCTCCAAAATCCCCTCCCTTCCAGGCATCAGAGCCTGAGCTCCAGGTCCAGCCTGAATGTTTGACTATTTTTAGCACTGAAATGTGAACCCCAGTCTGTAGACTCAAGCACTGAAACTTGCTGCTTCAGGTTGTTGGGGGTGGCTGTTGGTATTTTGGGGGTGGGAGTGCTATGTATACATGAATAACAAACTGGGATGGTCTTGCTTTCCTTACTCTAAAGTTCTGTAATTCAGTTTTACTAAGTGCTTGTTGATGGGGTGGTGAGATTTGGAAGTGAAATCTCTTCTATTTTTGCATGGAATGGTGGTGAAGACAGATTAGGGATTGTCACCTTGTAGCAATTGCTGGGATTCTCTGTTGGCAGAGACACTTAACACTGGAACTTAGGTGCCACTTACCCTGGGCTGGGAATTCTGTTTTGAAAATCAATTTAGCTGGCTTGGTTTGGCTAGCCGGTGTGGAAGGCAGGACTATGTACTGAACAAGTCTGTTCAGTTTGCTCCATCCCAACCACACTGTTTAAACTGAATTAGCTGGAAATGGTTTTCCAACTGCTCCGACTAATGTGGTTTCTGGCCTTTTGTAGAATTGAATAGAGATCCATAAATTTTGGGTGACTGAATTTCTTTATTGGTGCACTGAGTTTAAAGGTATTGCAAAAGGATTTTGGTGGCTAAACCTAGAGTTGCCCTAGTAAAAGTACATAGTAAATGATGCAGGTCTACTAGCTAGTTTCCTGTGTTCTCCAGTCTCATGAATATATGTATATACACTAGTAACAGATTGTGAGCCCCATAGACAAGTAATATTTCAGAATTGTAGTGCTTCCTTAAACGTTTTCATTTTCTTGTTTCTGCTGTGGGATTTCTTGAGAAAATGTTATTTGCACATGTTGGTTCTTGAAGTCCATCCTAGCCAAAAGAGCTTTATTTAATGCCAAACATCTGGATATTTTGAAGCTTAGTGAATGGTCTCTGGGGAGAGCTATTGCTTAGACAGAACACTGGTTTTCACAGACGCTCCAAATGGCTGTCTTTTAGAAGGCTTCACATTTTATTTTTATGCTTGGAAACCCCACAATGTGTCAGTCTTTGCAAAACCTTCTAGATGTGGTTCATGGATATACCAGTAAGTATATGTTTGTGTAAAAGAGTGACTGTGCAGTGTGTAAATACTTTAAATTATTATGATAGAAGAATAAAGTTACATGCCATGCTGTGGAATGTTTGTAATGTGGTGTTAGTGACCTCTGGTGGCTTGATAGAGAAATTTGTGCATATGTAGTTACAGTGACAGTAACTGGTAGCCCTCTTAAACCAAAGCCCTGTGTTCATTTTCTGAGTCACTTGCTGTACAAGACTGTGCTGTACCCAACCTCCATACTCACTCACATGGTTAATTTATAAGAGGCAAATATCCTTGTCAGTTATAAATTAAGTGTCATGACACTTATAATCAGTAATGGTGAAACAGGACAGTTTAAATGAGTGGATAGTATATGGTAGCTGAGCTCAGGAAACATACACTCAGTATCCCCCTTATGTACACTTTCCCTATATTGTTTGTGGAGATATTTGGAAAATTTCAAATTCAGTGGTCTCCTTTTGTGCTTCTGTTTTGAAAGATGATAAATTCCATCAGTGCTTTCTATCCTGCAGCTGTGCAATGCCTCCCAAATCAAAAGAGCCTTGGACAGAAGTGGAAAATCCACCACTAATTTGTAGGTGGACATTGATATGTTAAAAAAAAAATTACCCTCTCTGGACTTCACAGGCTCATGGTATTTTTGGAAATATGATTTACTAAATCTTTCTAGAAACATAATATTTTAGATACGAAGATGACAACGGTGCGCTAAACCCCCAATCAAACTTAGTTATAATTGATACTTTTTTTTAAAAAAGTAAAGGCCTGATAAACACAAGTTTGAATATCCTTTTGGTACTATTTAATAGGGCTGGAATTGATTAAAAGTAACCCCTAAAGTGGCAGATGCCCTGTTTAGAAGAGCTGTAGGGGGAGGAGAGACTAAATGTACACGTGCCACTAATTTATTGTATCGACGTTTTGGGAAGGATAGGGACATCACTAGAGTTATAGTTGTTTCCAATGTGTATGATTTACCACTTGCAGATTTGTAGAAGCTCATATGCAGCTGACAGGAGAAATTTAACTTGTACAATGCTTAAGTAAGCTGACACTATCCACTGTTTTTGCCTTTGTACTTGGATTTTTCAAAATGTTTGGTGTCATGAACGCTATTGTTTGTTCATAGGATTAAATGAGATGCATACGTTTTTCTGTACCACTTTTTCACCAGAAGATTTACCAAACCTATGCTGATTCATCTTCATAACATTGGGAGAAAAGCATGATCAAAGTTTCCTTTTTTCCCATAGGCCACACAGCCAGAGAACCCAAAATTTTAGTCCTATTCCAGTGTCATAACTGCATTCTGCACTTGATGTAATAGTTTGAGGAGGTGGGGCTGAGTGCTCCTATAACAATATCTTCCCTGTTCCCCTTCCCAAAAAGCCTGGTAAGATAAACAAGCCTTGCACTGTTAGACTTCAATAGATTGTGGTTCTTGTGGAACAAGAGAGTAATTTCCAAGAACAAGGCCACTTCTGAAGTATACTGGCTGTAGCCCCTCTTGTGGTTAAACTAAGATGCTCAAGCTAAAATGTTTCTCAGAGAGCAATGGTCTTGCTGGTAAATGGAGCCTAAACCATTTAAACCAATGTATGGTATTGATATATATTGCATATTTTTCTTTGCTTCTGAGGTTTCTAAAATGGTCATTGAGATAAGAGTGAGGTAATATCTTTTGCAGTGGTTCTCAAGCAGTCACAGGCATACCTCTCTCTTCAGCATATATATCAACGCATCTAGGTATTTGCCTAGTTTTACAACATGCTACATAAAGCATTAATAACATTACAAATTAAAATTTTATAGAGTAAATTAGAGAAAGCAATTTTTAGTGCTAATATGCTGTTGCTTGCTTTTGTATAATGTCTGATTTTTGTAAGTAGATTTTAAACAGGTGAAATTTGGCATTTGCAAGGCAAATCCATTCCTGAAAAGGGGCACAGTAGTTGGGAAAAGTTGAACCAACTTCTGTTGGTGTGTGAGAGAAGCTCTGTATAATGTGAAAGTTTGTTTCTTATACTGCCTCAGTGATTGTGTCTTTCTAATATCTTGAGACTAAGATGGCTAAAACAACATTGCAACTAACCTGTGTAATGCTCAGAGATGCGTGTTAATGGCTTGATTTTTAGCTATTCAGTGTTTTGATCAGTGTTCTTAATATGCTACTAGATTTCCCTCTACCTCAAAAATAAGGACTATATATTAACACAAGTTAACAGACAAAGCTAAATTAGATGTATGTTTATAATACTGGCACAAATAATCACATCTGCTCTGATTGTTTGTTTGTAAATGACTTGTAAGACAAAATGCTGCTGATTAGAGAATCAGTGGGGAGCAGGTAAGATTGATTACAGCCTTTGAATATACAGAGCCATTAACCAGATATAAAAACCCCTTCAGTATATGCAATTTCAGGAAGTGTTCCTCTTAGGCAGTTGCTTTTATCACTAAGGTTACTTTTAAGACCATTTTTATATACAAACAACATGTGAAGAACCCACTCAATAGGAAAAAGTTATGCACATTCTCACACTGACAGGCTTTTTAGGGGAGTTACCTTTTTTAAAAAAAAAAAAAGACTGCACCAAGCACTGCCTCTTAACAGCCCTAGCCTTGCAGAATGAACTGGTAAATCAGGCATGGATTGTAGGTGACAAAGGCGATTCACTGTGTTGCATGGGGGCATAGGGGTCTGTACCTCATTCTGGAGACTTTGACGGTTGGTGCACAGGGTCTTCTTTTCCTAAATATATTTGAACACACAGAAGGAAGCCCTTAGCTGTAGCTCTACCCCTTTTGCTCTGAGCAACACAAGTTTCACCATCCTAAGCACGAGTGTGGGCAGTGAAATGCCATCTAGATCCACTCTCCTGGTGACATAGCTACTGCCTGTCACAAAGGTGAAGCAATTATGCTGAGAGAGCTCTTCCCCATCGACATAGGGTATGTTCCTTACTAGTGCTACAGTGGCATAGCTCTATCAATGCACT